CAGTATAGAATTAATCTATATACGATAGTGGTGCGCATGTTTCTAGATGAACCAGATAGTTTTCAGGATTTGTTCAGCTACACATCTGCTTGATGATATTTGACTTTCAACTTTCTAATGAACCAATTAGCACTTTTTTAAACAGAAAACAAAATTAGAAAATAACGCTAGAGTACTTAAAATTACTTTGATTACTTTCAGTATTTACAAATATTAGTATTTAGAATATTTACTTCTATTGGCAATACATATTTACGTATTATATGCTTCAAATACAGAAAAACAGGCACGTAATTTACACGCCAATCCTCCAGTAAATTTATAATTTCTATAATTAATTATCTGACAAGATTATGCATTACATTAATCAGTAAATTGTCCTTTCATAATTGCTAGCAGATAAAATTCAGTTCAGGAATAGTTATATGCAAGATTTTCATTAGCTTCAGATATAACTATATTCATGTTGATTCTATTAATCAATAATGTGAGATTAATTCTGGTAGAAATATTACTCGCCGAAAAATTATAGTACATAGTTATCGAGTATTTATTTACTTAGTAGATTAACTTGATTGCAGTAAAATATATTACAATTAATAGTTGACACAGTTTTTGTGTAAACAATTTTGATATTATCAATTATCAAGCAAATACGAGAATAGCAGTATTCACAGTCAGTTACTGTAGATAATTTTTTCAAAATTAATGATCATATCGAGTAATTTTGTTCACCGTTTAAGATTCTTCTGGGCTTCAGCGATATATGCATCAAATTGACCAGTATAATAAGCTGCAGTTAGTCCAAATATGATAGCCAGAAATAGTAGCACCAGGAAACTCATTGTCACTTTTCTTTTCAGATAAAAATTTGATACACACAACCCACCCAAGTATTAGTTAGAAAGTAATAAAACATTATTAATGCTTTTCTGAATTTTATATACTTCACTCATTAATGAACTTTTTCTGAATATTTACTCTCATTAAATAAATTTTTTTATTGTAATAATATTCTTCACAAATATGATTTATACTTAATTATTGAAGATATTGAGTAAATATTGACTCAATTAATTACAAATTGGCAACTACATTTTAAATATTTTCGAAACTTCGTAATATATGTTCTATGCCTTCATTTACCAAGTCAACAAATTACCAAACAATAGTAGATTGTTGTATGTTATGCACGATGGATTAAAATATGATTACATGCTGTAGTACCGAAAATTCTAATAACTATAAGTATTCTTAATAACCATATAAAGTAGTCATATCCATCTTAGCATGTATCATCTCATCTATAATATAACCAGAACAAAATACTTAATGACTAGATTAATTCAAACTCTTATTATGAATTAAGTATTTTCACCCATATTCTATCATCTTAACATCTTAATGTAGTGATAATCTAAACTATGCAATTATTACGCAAGTCGACTAAATTTCGCATATCATCAGTAAATCACGTCTATTTTCAGTCAAAAAAGAATTGCAAAATTCCGTCATGTTTCCTTCATAATCAATATTTATTTACTTGAAACTTCAGAACATGGACAAATTACAAGCATAAAATTGATATCAAAACTGTATGCAAGCAAATACAGTAACAGTAATGCTAACTGCTTGCAAAAAAAGAAAAATCCTGTACTGCTAGTATTTTTCTGTGATAATTTTGCGATCTAGACGAACAAAAGTTCAAAAGTTCAAAAATATCAAAAGATTGAATGATACAGAATGCGAATAGTTTATGATTCAATAGCAAAATATTGTGGAATTAAAATGAAGTAAAATGGAATTGTGGAAAATGTGAGAAATTTGTAAAATTAAAAAAAAATTAATCGAATTAAAATAAAGTCAAATTTTACGCATAATAATATGGTCGCTCATAACGGAATGCCTTACAAAGTATACATGTAGAAATTAATGCAAACAGTTCTATAATTAGCAAAAAGACATCGATTACGATAATAGCTTCTCCAGTAGATTCCAACCAATCGGATATTACTGTAAAGCAATCCGGCTGAAAGTAAATAAGTTAAATATTAATCAGTAATCTAGAAATTATTCTTCATCACAAAAATTATATATTATGTTCAAAATTCTTTCTTACACAAAATTTATCACAAGAAATGAATATTATTTTTTGAAAATATTTAAAAAACTTTAGTTACACAAATTTTTTCTTAAAGCAATTATTAAAAAAACTATTTATATTATGTAGAAAATCTACATGAACTCACAATGAATCAGAAATTTGAACAGATTACAGAGAATCTCGACATATAGTAAAAAATTTATAATTTACAACTTTTAGCCATCTCTTCATATCTAGGATTTTAAAAAGAGGCAAAAATTCTCCAGCCTTATTTTGCAGTTCTCCTAAACATAATTGTTGAGTCACGTAGCGATTACGTGTTTCGTGTGTTGCACCACAGCACTGAAAAATGTCTTCAACAGGCTTCAAGTTCACTAAATACTTGTCTTCTGCATTACCAGCCTCTGACAACAATCTCTGAAATATAACCTCAGAATATGTGATGTTTGCTGCAAGAATCACAATAAGGTTAAAAACCCCTTTGATATATACTTATAATGCAACATTACACCTTACTTATTATTTATTATTATTTACTTACTACTACTCATTTCAAGAAATAAAATCAAAATGATAAGCAGCTGTGAGTGATACT